TGTGCCCAGGCCGGAAGCCGGACTGGCGCGAGTCTAGATAGACAGTTTCTTCCAGGTGCTGAGGGAGCTGTCGTGCCACCACACTCTCAACAACCTTCGCAAGAAAGCGAAGGTTGGAGACAGGACGGTAGTTGGCCAAAACAGCCGGGTCCAGGGAGGGCTTCTTGAGGAGGGGCCTCACCACTGCCTCTTTCAAGGCAGCCGGCAAGAACCCCTCACTCAAAGAAGCGTTGACGATTCCCTGGAGCCAGCCTCGTGTAACCTCCCGGGAGGCCAGTACCAGCCAGGAGGGACACGGGTCCAGTAAACATGTGGTGGTGTTCAGCCATCCCAACATCCTGTCCATGTCCTCGGGGGTCACAGGATCAAACTCTTCCCACAAAATAGACTCAAGACCTGCCTCCATTGGCCTGCCTGAACTAGTCCAATCGGAGGCTAACCCGGCCCGGATCCGATCAATTTTGTCATGCAGGTAACACCCAAATTCCTCTGCCCGACCCTGCAAAGGGACATCCCGGACCCTCTGATGAAGGAGGGAACGGGACACCCTAAACAGGGCGGCAGATCGGTTACCTGCAGACGCGATAAGAGCGGAGAAATAGTTTCGTTTTGCCGCTCTTATAGCTACTAGGTAAGTCCTTAAATGGGACTTTACCAATTTTCGATCAGATTCGGAGCGGGTGGCCCTCCAATTACTCTCTAGGCATCTCTTCCGACGCTTCATCACCCTCAGCTCCTCAGAGAACCAAGGAGCCAAGGTAGACCGGCATCGGGTGAGGGGCCGCAAAGGCACGACCCGGTCCAGGGCCCCCATGGCCGCACCATCCCAGGCGGCCACCAGGTCCTCAGGTATTGGCCCAAGGGTCAAGGTCTCAGGTATTGGCCCAAGCTCCGTCTGGAACCTCTCAGGGTCCATCAGGCGCCTGGGGCGGAACCATTTCGTCACTTCTGGTTCCGCCTCCCCGCAGTGGGGCATAGCGGTAGGAAAGGCCAGCCAAAGGAGAGAGTGATCTGACCATGACAGGGGCTCAACAACTATTTCCCCTAAACCACGAACACTTAGCCACTGGCCGGAGGCAAAAACTAAGTCCAGTGTGTGTCCTCCGGTGTGGGTAGGGACATCTACTAATTGGGTCAGGTCCATGGCTGTCATGGAGGCCATGAACTCCCGAGCCACCTCAGATGCTTCACCTAACGATGGCAGATTGAAATCCCCCATGACTAACAGTCTGGGGGTCTCAATTGCCATCTCGGCTATCACACTGAGAAGCTCGGGTAGGGCTGCTGATACATAGCGGGGAGCCAGGTATACAATCAGCACACCCTGCTGCCTCCCATGACCCCACTTCACACCTAGGGATTCACAACCGGCAGTCTGCGGCACAGTGGTCTCCCTTGGATCCAGGCCTTCCTTAATAATAACCACCACCACCCCACCCCGACCCTGGGCTCTCGGCTGGTGAAATGCACAGTAGCCTGGTGATTGGACACACAAGAAATTTGTATCCAGTGCATAATCTTTCAGTGTACATACAAGCAAAAATCATGATAATAATTATCATAAAAATACATTCATCGTAAATCATAAGATACAACACTTTGTGATAGTCATAGGATACTAAATAAGCAATCAACGTAAATCATAATAGGATACTAAATAAAACAATTAATGCAAATCATAAGATACAAGCAACAAAGTTATAGTCATAAGAAGATAAGGAGATAGGTAATAGGGAAGATGAGAAGAATAATAGCAATACAGCCCTACTAGGTAGTTTGACGGTATTGTGGGAATTAGTTGTTTAGCAGAGTGATGGTATGGGAAGGGAACTGTCCTTGTGCTGCTCTGACGTGCAATGCCCTGTAATGTCATTTTGAGGGAAGAAGTTGAAATAGTTCATGTCCAAGATGTGAGAGGTCTGTAGATATTTTCACAGCCCTCTTTCTGGCTCGTGCAATATACAGATCCTCAATGGAAAGCAGACTGGTAGCAATTGTTTTTCTGTAGGTCTAACTATCCATTGAAGTCTGTGTCTATCTTGTTTGGTTGCAGTGCCAAACCAGACAGTTAAAGAGATGCAAATGACAGATTCAGTAATTCTTTTGTAGAACTGTATCAGCAGCTCTTTGGGCAGTCTGAGCTTTCTGAGTTGGCACAGGAAGAACATTCTTTGTTGTGCTTTTTTGATGCCATTTTTGATGTTAGGTGTTCATTTTAAGTCTTGAGCTATTATAGAACCTAGAAACCTGAAGGTCTCTACTGTTGATACTGTGTTGTCTAGTGTCAAAAGAGGTGGTAGAATAGGAGAGTTTCACCTAAAATCTACTATCATTTCTACAGTTTTGAGTGTGTTCAGTTCAAGATTGTTCTGACTGCACCACAACTTCCCATCTGTATGCAGATTTGTCTTTGTCTCGAATGAGACCAATCACTTTTGTATCATCTGCAAACATTAGTACTTTAACAGAGGGATCCTTTGAGATGCAGTCATTGGTATAGAGAAGTGGAAAGAGCACACAGTCCTGCGG